AATGTAGTGTTATGCTCTCCGGTGTTGTGCACCCAGGTATTGCTGTGATGACAATGTAGTGTTATGCTATCCGGTGTTGTGCACCCAGGTATTGCTGTGTGACAATGTAGTGTTATGCTTGCGTTGTTGCAATCCAGGTATTGCTGTGTGACAATGTAGTGTTATGTCTCCGGTGTTGTGCACAGGTGTTGCTGTGTGATGTTAGTGTTATGTTATGCTCTCCGGTGTTGTGCAATAGGGTATTGCTGTGTGACAATGTAGTGTTATGCTCTACGGTGCAACAGGGAGTATTGTTGTGGTGTTGTGCACCCAGGTATTGCTGTGTGACAATGTAGTGTTATGTTCGCCCAGGTATTGCTGTGTGTAATGTTATGCTCTACGGTGTTGTGCACCCAGGTATTGCTGTGTGACAATGTAGTGTTATGTTCTACGGTGTTGTGCACCCAGGTATTGCTGTGTGACAATGTAGTGTTATGCTCTACGGTGTTGTGCACCCAGGTATTGCTGTGTGACAATGTAGTGTTATGTTCTACGGTGTTGTGCACCCAGGTATTGCTGTGTGACAATGTAGTGTTATGCTCTACGGTGTTGTGCACCCAGGTATTGCTGTGTGACAATGTAGTGTTATGCTCTCCGGTGTTGTGCACCCAGGTATTGCTGTGTGACAATGTAGTGTTATGCTCTACGGTGTTGTGCACCCAGACATTGCTGTATGCATTGCTGTAAATGGTATTATGCCCAGGTTGAGCAACAGGGTATTGTTATGAAACAATGGGTTTTTGAACAGCCATGTGTTGTGTAAGAAGGTATTGCTGTGTAACCTGGCGTTGTGGAGTAGCCATGTGTTAGTGTGGAGCCAGTTGTTGAATAGCCATGTGTAAGTGTGGAGCCAGTTGTTGAGTAGCCATGTGTTAGTGTGGAGCCAGTTGTTGAGTAACTATGTGTTAGTATGGAGCCAGTTGTTGAGTAACCATGTGTTAGTGTGGAGCCAGTTGTTGACTAACCATGTGTTAGTGTAGAGCCAGTTGTTGAATAGCCATGTGTTAGTGTGGAGCCAGTTGTTGACTAACCATGTGTTAGTGTAGAGCCAGTTGTTGAGTAACCATGTGTTAGTGTGGAGCCAGTTGTTGAATAGCCATGTGTTAGTGTGGAGCCAGTTGTTGAGTAACCATGTGTTAGTGTGGAGCCAGTTGTTGAGTAGCCATGTGTTAGTGTAGAGCCAGTTGTTGAGTAGCCATGTGTTAGTGTAGAGCCAGTTGTTGAGTAGCCATGTGTTAGTGTGGAGCCAGTTGTTGAGTAGCCATGTGTTAGTGTAGAGCCAGTTGTTGAGTAACCATGTGTTAGTGTGGAGCCAGTTGTTGAGTAGCCATGTGTTAGTATGGAGCCAGTTGTTGAGTAACCATGTGTTAGTGTGGAGCCAGTTGTTGAGTAACTATGTGTTAGTATGGAGCCAGTTGTTGAGTAACCATGTGTTAGTATGGAGCCAGTTGTTGAATAACTATGTGTTAGTGTAGAGCCAGTTGTTGAGTAACTATGTGTTAGTGTGGAGCCAGTTGTTGAGTAACCATGTGTTAGTGTGGAGCCCGTTGTTGAGTAGCCATGTGTTAGTATGGAGCCAGTTGTTGACTAACCATGTGTTAGTGTAGAGCCAGTTGTTGACTAACCATGTGTTAGTGTAGAGCCAGTTGTTGAATAGCCATGTGTTAGTGTGGAGCCAGTTGTTGAGTAGCCATGTGTTAGTGTAGAGCCAGTTGTTGAGTAACCATGTGTTAGTGTGGAGCCAGTTGTTGAGTAGCCATGTGTTAGTATGGAGCCAGTTGTTGAGTAACCATGTGTTAGTGTGGAGCCAGTTGTTGAGTAACTATGTGTTAGTATGGAGCCAGTTGTTGAGTAACCATGTGTTAGTATGGAGCCAGTTGTTGAGTAACTATGTGTTAGTGTAGAGCCAGTTGTTGAGTAACTATGTGTTAGTGTGGAGCCAGTTGTTGAGTAACCATGTGTTAGTGTGGAGCCCGTTGTTGAGTAGCCATGTGTTAGTATGGAGCCAGTTGTTGACTAACCATGTGTTAGTGTAGAGCCAGTTGTTGACTAACCATGTGTTAGTGTGGAGCCCGTTGTTGAGTAGCCATGTGTTAGTATGGAGCCAGTTGTTGAGTAACTATGTGTTAGTATGGAGCCAGTTGTTGACTAACCATGTGTTAATTAAGTGTAGAGCCAGTTGTTGAATAGCCATGTGTTAGTGTGGAGCCAGTTGTTGACTAACCATGTTTAGTGTAGAGAGCCAGTTGTTGAGTAGCCATGTGTTAGTGTAGAGAGCCAGTTGTTGAGTAGCCATGTGTTAGTGTGGAGCCAGTTGTTGAGTAGCCATGTGTTAGTGTGGAGCCAGTTGTTGAGTAACTATGTGTTAGTGTGGAGCCAGTTGTTGAGTAACCATGTGTTAGTGTGGAGCCAGTTGTTGAGTACCCATGTGTTAGTGTGGAGCCAGTTGTTGAGTAACTATGTGTTAGTGTGGAGCCCGTTGTTGAGTAGCCATGTGTTAGTATGGAGCCAGTTGTTGAGTAACTATGTGTAGTATGGAGCCAGTTGTTGACTAACCATGTGTTAGTGTAGAAACCAGTTGTTGAATAGCCATGTGTTAGTGTGGAGCCAGTTGTTGAGTAACCATGTGTTAGTGTAGAGCCAGTTGTTGAGTAGCCATGTGTTAGTGTGGAGCCAGTTGTTGAGTAACTATGTGTTAGTGTGGAGCCAGTTGTTGAGTAACTATGTGTTAGTGTGGAGCCAGTTGTTGAGTAGCCATGTGTTAGTGTAGAGCCAGTTGTTGAGTAACCATGTGTTAGTGTGGAGCCAGTTGTTGAGTAACCATGTGTTAGTGTGGAGCCCGTTGTTGAGTAGCCATGTGTTAGTATGGAGCCAGTTGTTGACTAACCATGTGTTAGTGTAGAGCCAGTTGTTGACTAACCATGTGTTAGTGTGGAGCCCGTTGTTGAGTAGCCATGTGTTAGTATGGAGCCAGTTGTTGAGTAACTATGTGTTAGTATGGAGCCAGTTGTTGACTAACCATGTGTTAGTGTAGAGCCAGTTGTTGAATAGCCATGTGTTAGTGTGGAGCCAGTTGTTGACTAACCATGTGTTAGTGTAGAGCCAGTTGTTGAGTAGCCATGTGTTAGTGTAGAGCCAGTTGTTGAGTAGCCATGTGTTAGTGTGGAGCCAGTTGTTGAGTAGCCATGTGTTAGTGTGGAGCCAGTTGTTGAGTAACTATGTGTTAGTGTGGAGCCAGTTGTTGAGTAACCATGTGTTAGTGTGGAGCCAGTTGTTGAGTACCCATGTGTTAGTGTGGAGCCAGTTGTTGAGTAACTATGTGTTAGTGTGGAGCCCGTTGTTGAGTAGCCATGTGTTAGTATGGAGCCAGTTGTTGAGTAACTATGTGTTAGTATGGAGCCAGTTGTTGACTAACCATGTGTTAGTGTAGAGCCAGTTGTTGAATAGCCATGTGTTAGTGTGGAGCCAGTTGTTGAGTAACCATGTGTTAGTGTAGAGCCAGTTGTTGAGTAGCCATGTGTTAGTGTGGAGCCAGTTGTTGAGTAACTATGTGTTAGTGTGGAGCCAGTTGTTGAGTAACTATGTGTTAGTGTGGAGCCAGTTGTTGAGTAACTATGTGTTAGTGTGGAGCCAGTTGTTGAGTAGCCATGTGTTAGTGTGGAGCCAGTTGTTGAGTAACTATGTGTTAGTGTGGAGCCAGTTGTTGAGTAGCCATGTGTTAGTGTGGAGCCAGTTGTTGAGTAGCCATGTGTTAGTGTGGAGCCAGTTGTTGAGTAACTATGTGTTAGTGTGGAGCCAGTTGTTGAGTAACTATGTGTTAGTGTGGAGCCAGTTGTTGAGTAGCCATGTGTTAGTGTAGAGCCAGTTGTTGAGTAGCCATGTGTTAGTGTGGAGCCAGTTGTTGAGTAGCCATGTGTTAGTGTGGAGCCAGTTGTTGAGTAACCATGTGTTAGTGTAGAGCCAGTTGTTGAGTAGCCATGTGTTAGTGTGGAGCCAGTTGTTGAGTAACTATGTGTTAGTGTAGAGCCAGTTGTTGAGTAACCATGTGTTAGTGTAGAGCCAGTTGTTGAGTAACCATGTGTTAGTGTGGAGCCAGTTGTTGAGTAACTATGTGTTAGTGTGGAGCCAGTTGTTGAGTAACTATGTGTTAGTGTGGAGCCAGTTGTTGAGTAACTATGTGTTAGTGTGGAGCCAGTTGTTGAGTAACTATGTGTTAGTGTGGAGCCAGTTGTTGAGTAGCCATGTGTTAGTGTGGAGCCAGTTGTTGAGTAGCCATGTGTTAGTGTGGAGCCAGTTGTTGAGTAACTATGTGTTAGTGTGGAGCCAGTTGTTGAGTAGCCATGTGTTAGTGTGGAGCCAGTTGTTGAGTAACTATGTGTTAGTGTGGAGCCAGTTGTTGAGTAACCATGTGTTAGTATGGAGCCAGTTGTTGAGTAGCCATGTGTTAGTGTGGAGCCAGTTGTTGAGTAACTATGTGTTAGTGTAGAGCCAGTTGTTGAGTAGCCATGTGTTAGTGTGGAGCCAGTTGTTGAGTAACCATGTGTTAGTGTGGAGCCAGTTGTTGAGTAGCCATGTGTTAGTGTAGAGCCAGTTGTTGAGTAACCATGTGTTAGTGTGGAGCCAGTTGTTGAGTAGCCATGTGTTAGTGTGGAACCAGTTGTTGAGTAACTATGTGTTAGTGTGGAACCAGTTGTTGAGTAACTATGTGTTAGTGTGGAGCCAGTTGTTGAGTAACTATGTGTTAGTGTGGAGCCAGTTGTTGAGTAGCCATGTGTTAGTGTAGAGCCAGTTGTTGAGTAACCATGTGTTAGTGTGGAGCCAGTTGTTGAGTAACCATGTGTTAGTGTAGAGCCAGTTGTTGAGTAACCATGTGTTAGTGTGGAACCAGTTGTTGAGTAACTATGTGTTAGTGTGGTTACTGTAACCAAGTTTTATACAGAATGTTGTTGTTGTCCAACCAGGTGACGCGCTAGAGATCCCGGACACAGTGATGGGGCTGACGCTCCTGTCTGCAGGTACCAGTGTCCCGGACTGTCTGGCTAGCCTGTATGTGGCCAGGGACGGTGAGTCAGGGTCTGTATAGATGTGTATGAGAGACAGACAGACATTGGGTGTGCCTGTCGTTGTTTACTTATGTGTGTGTTCGCGCGTGCGTTGTCGTGTGTGCGTGCGTGCGTGCGTGCGTGCGTGCGTGTGCGTTAAGAGAGCGAGTGAGTTGGGTTTAACGCCGGCTTTATCCACTTATATAACGTGGTGTCATCTTTACATGAGAGGGAAGCGATTGTTAGCCATAAGTGAGTCATTTGCTCTTGCAAGAATAGTTTTCATAAATTTTGTTTCGTTCGAATTGCTTTCATTACTTATCTACCAGTTGGGAAATAATTTCCATTCAATTTTCCGCTGATTATTAAGAAAACTGCAACTATTTCAACAACTTATATTAGACATGGCAATCAGGTTTAACATGGCTGTCTATGGGATAGATAAAAAGTTGTGCTTATATATGGTGCTTAATCAGGTGCCATTCGATAACTAATCAACGGAAAGATGAAAGAAAATTATGTACCCGTAGCTGAAGATTTCCAAGATGTTTGCAAAATATCAAAATAAAATGACTACTCAATTTATGAAAATTATTCATGCAACAGTTAATTAACATGGTGTAAGTCTATGGAAATTTCGCTAATGATGACTCACTTATGGCCAACTACTGTATTTATGTTTGGTTCTGACAAAACTCTACACTCAGGGGCGAACCAAGGATTTTGGAGAGCCCAAGGGACGCCACTCTGCACGGTGAATTGGGTGGTCCGTGGGTGAGAGCGTGAACGTGGGTCCGCGAGTTTGTGAGTGCGAGTTTTTTTAGAGTTTGACAATGAGTAAGTTAAAGGATCAACCAAATCAGGATAAAACGATAACATTTATATTACATGCGGCACATAGAACATATACGATATGCTACACATTATCAGAGGTACAGATAAGCTGCGTATCTGCGTAAATTACGCAAATATTTATGTGAAAACTCAATTCTTATTATGTCTGTTGCGTACTTGAATTTTTATAAATACTCAATAAATTTGATCTTACATGCGTACACACAGAACTGTCAAATCTTAGCTCGGGTGTTACTGAGGAGAGATAAAATAAGTGAGGTATAATGAGAGGTTCTATTTCAGCACATGAACGTGGCAACTTGCAGTCTTTCTTATGGTTTTTCAAATTACTGATCAAATACAAATAACAAGCACGTAAACCAACATTTAAACTTTATCATACTTTTATAATTAATGGAAAACAGCAAAATCCCCAAATTAGTTTGAGTGAGGTGAGTACAATTTATTTGGTTAATCAAAGGAAAATTAGGATACCCAATTGAAATGAACACAAGCGAGTACATCACTCAATGCCTCAAAAAGTTATCTGTAGCTCTGCATTATGCATGTCAAGTGATTCACAATATACGACATATGGTACATAAAATACGACATATGGCACATAAAATACGATATATGGTTCATAAAATACGCTATATGGTACATAAAATACGACATATGGTACATAAAATAAGATATATGGTACATAAAATACGACATATGGTACATAAAATACGACACATGGTACATAAAATAAGATATATGGTACATAAAATACGACATATGGTACATCAAATACGACATATGGTTCATAAAATACGATATATGGTTCATAAAATACGATATATGGTACATAAAATACGATATATGGTACATAAAATATGGTACATAAAATAAGATATATCGTACATAAAATACGACATATGTTACATAAAATACGACATATGGTACATAAAATACGACATGTGATACATAAAATACGATATATGGTACATAAAATACGATCATATATGGTACATAAAATACGACATATGGTACATAAAATACGACATATGGTACATAAAATAAGATATATCGTACATAAAATACGGCATATGGTACATAAAATACGACATATGGTACATAAAATACGACATGTGATACATAAAATACGATATATGGTACATAAAATACGATCATATATGGTACATAAAATACGACATATGGTACATAAAATACGACATATGGTACATGATATGCAATATATGTTACAGGGAACATTTTGCACACAATATGGTACATTGTACATAAATATACTTTTAATGCAATACATGGTATAACAGATACCAAAAGGTACATGACATGGGAACCGGCGTACAGAAGAAAGTACACAACTGGGCTTTGGGATTATTTTCGAAGAACGTAAATATTTTTTAACGTGTTTTGTTTTGCCTCTGTTGGGTTTGGGCAGCACACAGACACTGTGTGTCAACTGTGGGTTGGGCAGCACACAGACACGGTTGTGAACTGCAGGGGTTTGCAGGGCACACAGACACTGTGTGTGGGCAACACAGAACTGCGGGGTTTGGGCAGCACACAGACACTGTGTGTCAACTGCAGGGTTGGGCAGCACACAGACACTGTGTGTGAACTGCAGGGTTTTGGCAGCACACAGACACTGTGTGTCAACTGCAGGGTTTGGGCAGCACACAGACACTGTGTGTGAACTGCAGGGTTGGGCAGCACACAGACACTGTGTGTGAACTGCAGGGTTTGGGCAGCACACAGACACTGTGTGCCAACTGCAGGGTTGGGCAGCACACAGACACTGTGTGTGAACTGCAGGGTTTGGGCAGCACAAAGACTCTGTGTTTGGGCAGCACACAGCCAACTGCAGGGTTTGGGCAGCACACAGACACTGTGGTATCCAACTGCAGGAGGTTTAAGACACAGACACTGTGTGCCAACTGCAGGGTTTGGGCAGCACACAGACACTGTGTGAACTGCAACTGGGTTTGGGCAGCACACAGACACTGTGTGTGAACTGCAGGGTTTGGGCAGCACACAGACACTGTGTGTGAACTGCAGGGTTTGGGCACACAGCGCAAGTACAACTGCAGGGTTTTGGGCAGCACACAGTGTGTGTGAACTGCGGGGTTTGGGCAGCCACTGCAGGGTTTAGGGCAGCACACAGACACTGTGTGTGAACTGCAGGGTTTGGGCAGCACACAGACACTGTGTGTCAACTGCGGGGTTTGGGCAGCACACAGACACTGTGTGTCAACTGCAGGGTTTGGGCAGCACACAGACACTGTGTGTCAACTGCAGGGTTTGGGCAGCACACAGACACTGTGTGTGAACTGCAGGGTTTGGGCAGCACACAGACACTGTGTGTGAACTGCAGGGGTGCAGCACACAGACACGCGTGTTTGGGTTTGGGCAGCACACAGACACTGTGTGTCAACTGCAGGGTTGGGCAGCACACAGACACTGTGTGTCAACTGCAGGGTTTGGGCAGCACACAGACACTGTGTGTAAACTGCAGGGGTTTGGGCAGCACACAGACTGCGTGTGTAATGAACTGCAGGGTTTGGGCAGCACACAGACACTGTGTGTGAACTGCAGGGTTTGGGCAGCACACAGACACTGTGTGTGAACTGCAGGGGGCAGCACCACAGACACTGTGGTAACAGACTGCAGGGTTTGGGCGGCACACAGACACACAGTGTGTGAACTGCAGGGTTGGGCAGCACACAGACACTGGTGTCAGCCTGCACACAGACACTGTGTGTCAACTGCAGGGTTTGGGCACACAGACACTGTGTGTGAACGCTGCAGGGGAGCACACAGACACTGTGGACAGCACCTGTGACACTGTAATCAGAACTGCAGGGGTTTGGGCAGCACACAGACACTGTGTGTCAACTGCAGAGGTTTGGGCAGCACACAGACACTGTGTGTCAACTGCAGGGTTTGGGCAGCACACAGACACTGTGTGTCAACTGCAGGGTTTGGGCAGCACACAGACACTGTGTGTGAACTGCAGGGTTTGGGCAGCACACAGACACTGTGTGTGAACTGCAGGGTTTGGGCAGCACACCGAGACACTGTGTGTGAACTGCAGGGTTTGGGCAGCACAATGACACTGTGTGAACTGCAGGATTTGGGCAGCACACAGACACTGTGTGTCAACTGCAGGGTTTGGGCAGCACACAGACACTGTGTGTCAACTGCAGGGTTTGGGCAGCACACAGACACTGTGTGAACTGCAGGGTTTGGGCAGCACACAGACACTGTGTGTGAACTGCGGGGTTTGGGCAGCACACAGACACTGTGTCAACTGCAGGGTTTGGGCAGCACACAGACACTGTGTGTGAACTGCAGGGTTGGGCAGCACACAGACACTGTGTGTCAACTGCGGGGTTTGGGCAGCACACAGACACTGTGTGTGAACTGCAGGGTTGGGCAGCACACAGACACTGTGTGTCAACTGCGGGGTTTGGGCAGCACACAGACACTGTGTGTCAACTGCAGGGTTGGGCAGCACACAGACACTGTGTGTGAACTGCGGGGTTTGGGCAGCACACAGACACTGTGTGTCAACTGCAGGGTTGGGCAGCACACAGACACTGTGTGTGAACTGCAGGGTTTGGGCAGCACACAGACACTGTGTGTCAACTGCGGGGTTTGGGCAGCACACAGACACTGTGTGTCAACTGCAGGGTTTGGGCAGCACACAGACACTGTGTGTGAACTGCAGGGTTTGGGCAGCACACAGACACTGTGTGTCAACTGCAGGGTTTGGGCAGCACACAGACACTGTGTGTGAACTGCGGGTTTGGGCAGCACACAGACACTGTGTGTGAACTGCGGGGTTTGGGCAGCACACAGACACTGTGTGTCAACTGCAGGGTTTGGACAGCACACAGAGACTGTGTGTCAACTGCAGGGTTTGGGCAGCACACAGACACTGTGTGTCAACTGCAGGGTTGGGCAGCACACAGACGCTGTGTGAGAACTGCAGGGTTTGGACAGCACACAGACAGTGTGTGAGAACTGCAGGGTTTGGGCAGCACACAGACACTGTGTGTGAACTGCAGGGTTTGGGCAGCACACAGACACTGTGTGTCAACTGCGGGGTTTGGGCAGCACACAGACACTGTGTGTGAACTGCAGGGTTTGGGCAGCACACAGACACTGTGTGTCAACTGCAGGGTTTGGGTAGCACACAGACACTGTGTGTGAACTGCGGGGTTTGGGCAGCACACAGACACTGTGTGTCAACTGCGGGGTTTGGGCAGCACACAGACACTGTGTGAACTGCAGGGTTTGGGCAGCACAATGACACTGTGTGTGAACTGCAGGGTTTGGGCAGCACACAGACACTGTGTGTGAACTGCAGGGTTTGGGCAGCACACAGACACTGTGTGTGAACTGCAGGGTTTGGGCAGCACACAGACACTGTGTGTGAACTGCAGGGTTTGGGCAGCACACAGACACTGTGTGTCAACTGCAGGGTTTGGGCAGCACAATGACACTGTGTGTGAACTGCAGGGTTTGGGCAGCACACAGACACTGTGTGTGAACTGCAGGGTTTGGGCAGCACACAGACACTGTGTGAACTGCAGGGTTTGGGCAGCACACAGACACTGTGTGTGAACTGCGGGGTTTGGGCAGCACACAGACACTGTGTGTCAACTGCAGGGTTTGGGCAGCACACAGAAACTGTGTGTCAACTGCAGGGTTTGGGCAGCACACAGACACTGTGTGTCGACTGCAGGGTTTGGGCAGCACACAGAAACTGTGTGTCGACTGCAGGGTTTGGGCAGCACACAGAAACTGTGTGTCAACTGCAGGGTTTGGGCAGCACACAGACGCTGTGTGAGAACTGCAGGGTTTGGACAGCACACAGACACTGTGTGTCAACTGCAGGCCACATTCCAAACACTTTTGAAAATATTTGTCGTCGTTTTCTTAAAATTATCCCCAAAGCACCAGGCTTGTACTTTCATTAACACGTCAGTTTACATTATCCACGACACAGAATACAATGTGCACAAGGTACATTACAGACAAAACTTGGTGCATTATATACAATATACGTTATATTATATCTGATACACGGTTCAGTATGTACGACATTCTTCTGTCATGCTGTTTTATATACATCTTGATTTTTTTCTTCTATAAAGGCCTCGGCGACATGGCTGTCTCGAATTCCATCGCAAGCAACGTCTTCAACATTCTTATGTGCCTGGGGTTACCATGGTTACTGGAGACCGCCGCAGTCAACGTAGGCGAGACCGTCGCCATCAGCAGCGGGGCCCTGCTGTACGACTCCCTCATACTGCTGGTGACGGTGGCCCTGCTCATTGCCGCTCTCTTCGTCAACCGATGGAAGCTGAATGTGAAACTCGGAATGTTCTGCATATTCACCTATGTAATTGTCATAGGAGTGTCGTGTCTCTTCGAGCTGAACATATTCGGCAATCTGAACCTTCCAGCTTGTCCAAGATAATCTCGACAGGGTGGAACCATTGTCGTGTAATCGACAGGTTCCTTCCAGACAGTTTCACGGCCTACGAGCACATAGCGATCTTAGCTCAAAGACGATTGGACCTCCCTTTCTTTAACCTAGAATTAAGGTGGTCAAAGCACTAAGATCGGTTTGTACAACCGGGCCCACATTTGTAGAACGAGGGATATACGGTCAAACATGATTGTTCTCTCAGAGTACATACACAATCGAGTTAACCGAAGTTATGGAAGTCTCATTGTATATGTGCATTAGCTCTCTGATAAATCTGAAACTCGACCATACATCAAGCGTACGCTTCGATTCATCTACGAACTTGTTACCATGTAACGGTCATTATTCTTAACCTCTGCTCTTCATGTTCACGGGGCGGTGGGGTAGCCTAGTGGTTAAAGCGTTGGCTCGTCACGCCGAAGACCCGGGTTCGATTCCCCACATGGGCACAATGTGTTAAGCCCATTTCTGGTGTCCCCCGCCGTGATATTGCTGGAATATTGCTAAAAGCGGCGTAAAACTAAACTCAGTCAGTCAGTCAGTCTTCATGTTCACGAACGATTGTCCATTGTTGAGAACCAATTCATCGGAAAAAGCTGTTGTCCTCTTTGAAGTGTTTTACTGGCGGGGTACCTCTATATGTTCAGATGTTGGATGTTTCCCGTATCTCTTAGAACTGATGTCACTTCATGGAATTGTGAACAGCGAGTCCAACACCAAGTCATGCATTTAGGTTTCAGCTGAAGCCATCATATGCTATAGTCCGTTTGACTTCATTTTAGACCGATGAATTGCTCACTAACACAAAATCTAATAAATGCAACAAAACCAAATTGTGCACAGTCACATGAAATCGACAGACCAACTCTGATGATTTGTCTCATAATTTTGGACACCCGAATAAAAAAAGTTGTTAGCGAAAAGTGACAACAAAATAATGATTGTTTGTTAAACAACTTTTTTATTCGGGTGTCCAAAGTTATGAGACAAATCATCAGAGTTGGTCTGTCAATTTCATGTGACTGTGCAAAGTTTGATTTTGTTGCATTTCTTAGATTTTGTGTTAGTGAGCAATTCATCGGTCTAAAATGAAGTCAAACGGACTATAACGCTTATATACTTCTCAACACTTCCCAAGCATAGTGTGAGCGAGTGAGTTTAGGTTTACGCTGCTTTCCAGCAATGTCACGGCGGGGAACACCAGAAATGGGCTTCACATATTGTACCTACGTGGGGAATCGAACCCGGGTCTTTGGTGTGACGAGCGAACGCTTTAACCGCTAGGCTACCCAAGAATAACCAAACTCGCACTAGCGGACTGCATTCACTGGTGACACACAAGCTCCACACAAAGCGACCTTAGAGCTAAGCTAATCACTCCCACACTCAAACATTGTCTTAAAACAATCGACCGGTGACGATCCGGGTTAGAAGTGATCTTCAGTAACTCATGCTTGTCGTAAGAGGCGACTAACGGAATCGGGTGGTCAGGCTCGCTGACTTGGTCGACATATGTCATCATATCCCAATTGCGCAGGTCGATGTTCATGCTGTTGATCACTGGATTGTCCGGTACGGACTCGAATATTCACAGACCGCCACATATAAGCTGGAATATTGCTGAATGCGGCGTAAAACTCACTCACTCAATGCGTCTGTAGCACATTCGTGAGCCAATGATATAGTATAGAGTTACGATAGGTCGTAACGCTACGAACGCTTTGCGGATTGGGACCCCAAACCGGAAGTAACGACATCGTTATGATCACAAACGTTCCACACATGCGCACTTCGTTACGAAGGTGTATTCTAACGGAATTTATTACATATATGCTACTCAGTATAGATTAAAAACACCTATTTCATTCATATCGCCATAGGTAATCTAACATGTGAAAACGACGTCGTAATGGCCAATGCTTAAAGAAATAATAGTTTCTAAATGTCTGGTATTGAAAGTGAATGAGTTAACGTTTTACGCCGCTTTTAGCAATGTTCCAGCAGAAATGGTCTTCACACATTGTACCCATGTCACGAATCGAAACCGGTTCTCTGCATGATACGCGAACGCTTTAACCACTAGGCTACAGCACCTCCCCTTGTATTGAAAGGATAACAGCTATAAATTCCCGAAGGCATGGCAAGTAAATAGGAGGAGAAGCCGCATCGATTACACGATGCTATTAAAAAGCCTCGGCTTCAACAGACACATTAGAACTTCGATCATTCTGAATGATGTAAATTACATATATCGCAAAGACAACGACACTGGAAGCTTCACCAGTGATCAATCAGTGTACACTGAAAGATAGGAATCGTATTACATCTTTATTGTACTTGTTGATTATAAGCTGGTTGAAGTATTTTGAGATCAAATCTATCTCTGAGTTGGCGAACTGCCAAGGAGGACTGTACATTAACCTGATTTCTCGTCTTAGACGTTGAAACGCAGAGTTGCACGTTGAGTTTATCGGACTTGGAAGTAGTTTTGTAAAATGCTGACGAGTTATTTGAGATGATGTGTGTTGGACGGTGAATGGCTGCCATATAGAGAAGAGATATTCTAAGGCCTTGGCCTCGATAATAAACTGATTTGATTGATTGTTTGTTGCTTAACGCCACACTCAGCAATATTCCAGCTATATGACGGTAGTCTGTAAATAATCGAGTCTGGGACCAGACAATCCAGTCATCAACAGCATGAGCATCGATCTACGAAATTGGGATACGATGACATGTGTCTGTCAAGTCAGCGAGATTGACCACCCGATCCCGTTTTCCGCCTCTTACAAGCATGGGTTACTGGAGACCAATTCTAACCCGGATCTTCACGGGTCGATAACAAAGTGAAGTATGCCCTATATAATACTCATACAAGCACCTGCTTGAAGTCATCATCTCATTAGCACCCGCCCATACTCTCATATTCTGTCTACTGTACTGTTTTAGTGACCGATCATGAGTGAGTGAGTTAAACAATGCAGCATTTGGGCTGTCATTTATATAAGGTAGGTGAATGTTGTTTTAAGCCGCCTTCAGCAGTATTCCAACTATATCATTGCGGCCGAGTCTAGTGAGTGAGTGAGTTTAGTTTTATGCCGCACTCCGCAATATCCCAGCTATATGGCGGCGGTCTGTAAATAATCGAGCCTGGACCAGACAGTCCAGTGATCAACAGCATGAGCCTCGATCTGCGCAATTGGGAACCGATGACATGTGTCAACCAAGTCAGCGAAACTGACCACCCGATCCCTTTAGTCGCCTCTTACGACAAACATAGTCGCCTCTTACGACAAGCATAGTCGCCTTTTATGGCAAGCACATGGGTTGCTGAAGACCTATTCTATCCCGGATCTTCATGGGTCTGCGGCCGAGTCTAAGCCGGACGAACGTGTGGTTAATATCATGAACAACGCTGTCACGGTACGAAGCCGTCCAGTCTGACTTTATACGTCCACCTCGTCCAGCGAACATAGGATACTTGGGAACAACACTGGAATCCTCACGCGGTTTGTATGGGGTTACGTACAAGCATCTCACCTTTCCGGGTTAGACCTGGGACCAGTTTCAAGAAGCGAAGCAGTTTCACGTTATAGGAGTTACGATGGTCGTAGCGCTACGGTCGTTTCGTGAAACGAGCTCCAGGGACCCGTTCCACAAAAAGAACGTAGTGCTTAAGATGATCGTAACTCCCATACTTACGACTGTCGTAGCGCTACGATCGCTTCGTGAAACGAGCTCCGCTTCGTCAACAGCCCGTGCTTCTTGTAAGATGCGACTAGGGGTGGGTATTGCAGAGAATTTTCATATTGCGATATATTGCGATGCGGAAGCATATATTGCGATATGTATTGCAATATATTGCAAGAATTATTTTTTTAACATAAAACTATTTATATTCGAGTTAATGCTTGACTATAAAGCAAAAACACAACAAAATCACTATGATTGATTAACCTTAAAACAACCCAACCCTTTTAATCATGACAAAATAAAAATGTAAGTAACTTTTGGCACTAATGAAACAGGGAAAAGAACAATTAAAAAAAACGGAAATATCCGAAGATTTCCGATTGTTACGAAGTTTTCCGAATGCATGTCAAAATACCGGTTTTCGATCAGCGTATCGCAATACGTATCGTTTTCATGTCTAGCCGGTAAATACCGGTAAACCGGTTATATCGCGCAGCCCTAGATGCGACTGGATTGCGCTTGCCGTCTTGACTGATTCATGTCACTGTAATCCAACTTTATAGATACATGCTCATATATTATGTCAACCCATGGATTGTCTGGTCCAGACTCTATACAATTCGCACCGCCGTTTTATACCTGGGATATTGCAGAGTGTTGGGTTAAAGAACAAACTAACTACAAATGGTCTTAACATCTTCGTGAAGCTGGCAAAAATGATTGAGTGCGTTGGGCTTGATGCGTCTTTGAAAGCTTATATCAGAGGGTGCCCACTTAAAGGCACTATACCACACCACATTTCTCTGAAAATAAATAATGCATTTCTCTCAATAATACTATCAGCCCTCAGGGAAGCTACCATATAATTTATTCTAAAATACATTACGTATTTAGATTTAAATATTAAATTTAAACGTTCGAATGAATTTTTGCAACGTTGCATTAAATCGACTCTCGCGAACCCCATAGAGATATGTCCCTTGGAGCGCTCTTTACGAATATCCAACCCACAACTTGTGATTGGAACCAGTTCGGCAAACACCGACAACACCGCGTGCGACAGTTTTCAATGTACGCAACAATTGTTTACATTCCATACATGGCAAATGTTCTCTGTTTTGGAAGCTGTTCGCCTCCAAGTTTCAATTATCGATTTCAGGCAAGTCGTAAGCGATAGTACGTCTTCACTGCATCAATAGGAAGCTAAAGTGAGTGCATATACCCCAATATATATAATATAGGCCAAACTATTGTCGAAAATGTGAGACATTGTGCCTTTAATGTGGAAGGAAAGGCCCAAGTGAAGCAGTCAAGAGTTTACCATCTTGCAGAATAATGCTTTAAATTTAAGATTTTCTGAGAGAATCCACATAAAATGAACAGATGACCCAGTGAGATACCCGTGAAGACCCGGGTTGCAATTAATCTTCTGCAACCCTTGCTTGTGAAAGGCGACTAACGGGATCTGATAGTTAGGCTCACCGACTTGGTTGGCACATGCCATCTTGTCCCAATTGCGTAGATCGATGCTCATGATGTTTATCACTGGATTGTCTGGTCCAGAATATTTACAAACCGTCTCTATATAGCTGGGATA